GATCCCATTCTTGAAGATCATAAAAGCTAGTAATAAAGAGAGAAAAGATGTTTATAAATAACTCCGATACAATAGAAAGAGGAAAAGGGAGGGAGGGAATTAATGTTTACTGAGTGCCTGTCATGTACTAAACTGTATTAGAAGTTATACATGTGTTATTTCAATCCTCACACCCTTTGTTGGGATAAGACATGATCATCTCTGCTTTATAGATGGGGGAAATGAGACTCAGAGTGATTGAGTAACTTGTCCAAGATCACAGAGCTTCTAAGTGGAAGAGCCAGGGTTTGATTTATGAGTTGTCTGGCTTTGCTGTCTATGCCCCCTCTGTTTTAAGTGTAAAGTAATATAAAAAGGTGTACAGATAAAATGCTGTGGGGATTCAGCAAAAGGAAGAAATTACATTCAGCTAAGGTAGAGTAACGACATCTTGATGGAAGAAGTAACATGCAAGTATGAAGGGTTATCATATTTGGATGTGTGGAAACTAAGTGTATCTGGGGGCTAGGAGAGAAGCAGTTCTGGAGAAAAGACTGGTTTAAGAAAAGACAAATGAAGGAAAACATATTTGAAGGGAAAAAAGTAAATGTTTTGATTCAGTTTGGATGAAGCGTTGTGCAAACTGACATCCAGAAAGAAATTTAATGAAAAATCAGTGGGAGATAGTGCTGGAAAAACAAGACAAATCAAAGGATTTGAATGTCAGGTAAGGAACTAAATGGTAGTCATATTGAGATTCAAAGTTTGGGAGTCAGAACAATGACATAATCAGAACCGTGATAGAAAAAGACATACATAGGTTGATATTGGTTGATGCTACACTCAGTCCCAACCCTTGATGTCTCCACTATACAGACAGGAAAAAGCTAAATGTTCACTTTCTTGACTCAGCTCCCTTGCAGCAGTGATTGGCCAGGCAACAGGCATGTGTTCACAGTGGGCAGAATGGCAATGGAGAAGTCATGGTCAAGAGAAATAGAAATGGAGAGTCCCTGTCAGGTAGGCAGTGAGCTAGAGGCAGCTAACTGTTTGGTCAGCCATTAACAAGGCTGCACAGAGCGTGCACACCATGACTGTAATACCCGGCAGTAGAGAGGAAAGGAAAAGGAGGACCTGGGATGAAGACGGTAATGGAGAAAGGGAGTGTAGGCACGAGGAACCAGGAAAGGACTCAGTCATCAGAAGAGGGGTGCCTAGATCTGGGCAGAAACCCCATTATTAGAACAAAGGCATGGCACCAGGACTACACTTAGAGCAATGGCATTGATGCTGGGTCACCTGCATGTTGGAAAAAGGCCTCCTTAAATGCCTCATGTCCAAGGTCCCAAGGAAACCTGGGGATGAACCAGATGTACAGACACAGAGCAGGTCTTGCACATGTGGTTAAAGTCATCCCTGGAATGGTGGGTCTGCAGAATTGACAGAACTTTGACACTCTACTTGACTATTAATATTAAAAGAACAGAGACTGAGTCTGTCTTGTTCACAATTTCACAGCCTTACCATTTGTGCCTCGTACCTAATAGAGGCAAAATAGATACTTGAGTTATTGAAATGAATTATGTTAATATGAATTTATGAAAAAAGTATCAGGGTGACTTTCATGTCAATAGATTAATTTTGCCCCACCCCCTGAATAATTCCCATTACCTCTAGGTTGAAATACAAATGTTCATCTGTCTTTTTTTCTAATTTCTTTCCCTTCTTTCTTCTCTTCCTTACTCTCTGTTGCCATTTGTTCTTTTTTCTCTTTCTACCCAATCATTTTTTCAAGTCTCTGTGACATTATTTACTCTAACCCATCCCTTTTCCTCTCCAAGAATTTGGTTTCCTCTGATTCAGTGGGTTCACAGCAATATTCTCCCCATTCATTCCCCTGCCTCTTTTCCCATCTTAACCACAGCTGCTAGAACTGTCTTTTTTTCTTTCTAATATCCTTTCACCATCTCATTTCCATCATCAAGAACCATTTTCTCACCCATTTAGGTAAACACATAGATTTACCTCTCTTCCTTAGGGCCTATTTTCGTATTCAATTTCATACTGTCACTGTAACAGTGTTCACTGCTATTCAGCTTTCTAGTCCTCGCAATTTTTTAGCAATTTAAGCTAAGTCCAGCCAAGCTGTCTTCAATTTTAGGAAGATGATCAGAACTCCTTGATTATAAGACATATTCCCTTTTTCCCACTGGTCTGCAAAATAAAACCCTATTAATCTGGAAGTCCTTACTAAATGATGTGTGATATCGAAGAAGCAGAATTGAGTTTCACTGTCTAAGAGTTTTGCATCATATAACAATGTGAATAAGATGAGGTGGTGATGTTCAACCTATGCAAGAAAACACTCATTGACATAAACATTTGCATACGAATAACAAGCAGAACAAAGTTAACCAATCATCTGGTACTAAATGAGAACTTCATTAAGAATTCTCTAGTTTAAAATCTAAAATTGGAAGTTTCTTCTGAAAAATACTATAATGATGTAGGGATGAGAGGTAGGTCAGACTTTTCCTTGGGGACATAGCAACAAAACTCTGCCTATTTTTCATGGCATAGAAAGACAGTGTGAGAGTATCTCTTGTCTTCTCATTTCCCTTCATACCTATCCTTCCTGAATCCATTGCTTTCCTTTTGCAGTGACACAAGGAAGGCATTTTGGAAGAAATGATCATGTGACTTGAGTGTCCACTAAAAGCAAAATTGTAGCCAAAATGAAGGAAAACCAGAGCAGATCACCTTTTGAAAATGCCAGTCCTATCCTCCTTCAAAATTTCCCAAATTTTCAATTATAGGCAGTTAGGTAGACTATTTTTCTGAAGAGCCACAGTAAATATAAGACTTGCGGGCTTCCCTGGTGGCACAGTGGTTGAGAGTCCGCCTGCCGATGCAGGCCACACGGGTTCGTGCCCCGGTCCAGGAAGATCCCACATGCCGCGGAGCGGCTGGGCCCGTGAGCCATGGCCGCTGAGCCTGCGCATCCGGAGGCTGTGCTCCGCAACGGGGGAGGCCACAGCGGTGAGAGGCCCGCGTATCGCAAAAAAAAAAAAAAAAAAAAAAAAGCCTTGCTGTGAAGGTATTCTGAAGTGCCATGATGTACTTTCAAATCTTAGCTACAGTGATCCATCCATAGGTGTTCCTCGTTCTGACCATTCTTGGCTTCCTGTGCTGGTTTATCATCTTTCTTCTGCTCATTCACTGTGGCTGTGTAGTCAAGATTTATCACGACCATGTCCTTCCTTTTACAGTTATCCTCTTTAAAGTCTCATTACTTAATATGCTTTTAATGCTGTTTTTTGTCCAGTTTTCCGTCTTTATATCCATATCAGAGTTTTCCATTTCCATAGGACACTTGCACTTGGATGTTGTAGCAGATGTAGGTGCCAACACACACCACTGCCCCCCTCCAAGACGGTGCTAGAATAAATGTCCCGTATGTTCCTACTGCTTTCTGCATCCTCGAGTAGCTGGAGTGTGCTGTACCTTCTGGGGCAGGCCAGAAGTTCCAGGGAGTTAACACCCAGGCACGACTCTTACCAATGAAGGATGGGAGATCAGTGCATAAATGCATCAATTTCCCTACCCTCAGTGGGGAGATTCTGAGGCAAGCTCTACACTGTTTCTCCCAGGTTCCTCATATGTTTTATATATGAGTATATTTTATATTTATATATATATATATATATTCTTATAGGTTCACACACACAGATATATATAGATATGTATATATACAAAATAAGAAGGGATTAAAAATACATATCTCTTAGATCTAGATCTAGGATAATAATACTTTCAGGGCTATTGTAGCATTAAATAAAATAAAGCATGCAAAGCCCCTTTTACGTTGTCTTCATCTCATTGTCATGCAGCAGTTTCAAATTTAGGGAATAAACTACAACTTTCTTTTGTGGGTTTTTTTCCCTCCAATAATTAGCTTGAGATAACTTAGAATATAAGAGTGAAAATTATAAATAGAGTATTCTCTGATGTGAATATAAATTAATTACTTTTCAAGATATTTCTCATGAGTAGTGTGAAAAGGACTGTTCTCCTGAAGGCATTTTTGTTTATTTCGTTGGACATCCTTAAATTCAGAGCTCATAAAAACTATAAATAATATTATCATGGTCTAGTATGAGAATTAGCACACGATAGACAATTTATGATATTGATTAACAAAGATATCATGAAAATCATTTATTTACGAAATAATCTAGGACAGAAATAACATTCAGTATATCGAGGGGAAAGAGACGTAAAGGGAACTCAATAAATAACTATGTTATTTACAGGTATTATAGTGTTAAAGGTGAAACATTAATAATGGCATTTCCTTCTCTCTAGATTCCTACTGAGTGCAATAAGTGAGATTGTTGTTTTTTACTGACTCTTCATTTCTGACAACTCCCTTCTTTTGTACTTTCATCTTTTTACACATTCCTCCCCTCCCTGATATTTCCTCATTTTCTTCATTATGATTTAGGGCCGAAAGACTGTCTGTTGAGTGCATTCACATTTAATTATAAACCATATCTTCAGCAGTTAGTTTATATTGAACTGTAGAATGAATTCAATATCTGTCTATAATGAATCAAAAGTAGCTGGTGGGATCACAATCTAAATAATCAGTCTGTGTTTATTTACATTAATAGTAATGATTAATCAGTACTTTACGCAAACAAGTTCATACCCGACATCTACTACGAAATCATTTTATCTTACATGAAAGTCCTGTGGCACTGTCTCAGATCAGTTAAGAGTTTTGCTTTATATGATAGTACATTGTTAAACTTGCCATCTGGTCCAACAGCTGATGTGGCTCGTACAACCCTTAAGAGGCCCTGAAGCTTTACTCCTGGGAAATATTTGGTCTACTGTGTGGTGTCATGATTACTGGTTCATAACTTTTTTATATCCTTTGAAAAGAATTGCAGAAAAACCTCCACGCTGGGAAAATCCTAATTGAAATTGATTTGTTAGAAGAAGAAGAGTTCACTTACCTCAGGACCAGGCTGACCCTGAAATTGAAAAGAAGAAAAAAAGAAAAAGGATTATAAAATTGTTTCTTAAGTGAATAGTTTCAGTAGCAAAATTTAAACTAGTTCTGAATATCTTTTCAAAATATTTCTGAAGATAATACCTAACTACTGACAAATCTCATTTGTGATTTTAAAAAAGTTATGTCATATCTTAATATTTGCACTCTATGCTATTTATCTAAAATCTTGATATTATGGTCATTTTGTGTAATTCCAAAATGACTCAAGAGTTTTAGTATGCTCTAGAATTAAAATAGAGAAAGAGAAGGCAAAAGGTGAAATACGTTTCACATTATAATAATGAGTGGGTTACATAAAGGGAAGGTCTTCTAGCACAGACTATTTTTATGAGCTGCATATTCGGAGATGGCACAAAGTGAAGAAAAAAGAGGCAGATATTTTAATTTTAGTTTTAGAATTCACTGACACTTTAAATTTCTCATTGTTTCAATAATATTTTACGTCAATTAAAAAAAATAAACATCTATCTTTTGCTCTGCATAACCTAGCCTAAGGGCATTTTTAAGCAGATATGAGAGGTCTTTGGCTCAATTAAAGTGCATCATAACTCTTCATACAATCAATAGATTATGTAACCTCTGGTCAATCGGATTTACTTTGAATGTTACTTTTTTGTTGCTTAAGCTGATAAAAATTTCCAAGCAGCATAACTGCCAATGCTTTTCACTAAAGGAAAATCACCTGTGAATAAAAGTATTGATTACATATCACCTTCTTAAAATCTGCAGTTGGGTTTTGTGTAAGATGAGATGAAAGAGAAAGTTCACACCGAGTTAGGGAATCTTAAAAAATAAATGATGTATAATCTCATTCTATCAGCTGTATGCCACTGGGTATTACACAAAAAAGCATGGACCTAATCCAACTCCCAGAGAAGACTCTCTTTCTCTCTCAGTCCCTCTCCAGGCTTGGAATTTCTCTAGGTACTTGCCTTCTTACTGACTGGGGATAAAACAGATGATTTCCAAGAGCTTTGTCTGAAAATGTGGTTGGCTAGATTTTATCTGATCAAACCAGGAAGGGGAGCTACACCAAGTTACTGTGGACATTACTCACCCCACTCCTGACTCTTTAGTGATGGAGACGGAGAAAGAAAATACCATTCATTCACTCCTTACTGAGTCCCAGGCAACTCTGGATATGTTACTCTGTTTATTCCTTATGACTGCCTTGCATTTTATAAATGAAGAAACTGAAGCTCATAGAAATAAGCTAAAAATCACACAGCCTGTAGTTGGAAAAGCCAGAATTTAAACCCAAAGCTGATTCCAAAGTTCATACCAGGCCATTTTGCCTTTCACCCTGGAAGTTTAAACTCACAGCTATATGCAGATTTGCTCAGATCAACAGTGGTCCCAGGGCACTCTTTGCGTGAGTGGATACTAAACTTCCCAGCCACTCCTGGGCTGCCACAGTGTGAATCTCTGCTTCCAGATGCAGACCTAGGACCAGCAGGCACCCAGCCTCTCAACTGACACCTGTACAGAAACCAGGCCAGCAAAGCTTCTTGAGGGGGCTTCCCTGGTGGCGCAGTTGTTAAGAATCCGCCTGCCAATGAAGGGGACACAGGTTTCAAGCCCTGGTCTGGGAAGATCCCACATGCTGCAGAGCAACTAACCCCGTGCACCACAACTACTGAGCCTGCGCTCTAGGGCCCATGAGCCACAACTACTGAGCCTGTGCACCTAGAGTCCGTGCTCCGCAACAAGAGAAGCTACAGCAGTGAGAAGCCCGCGCACCGCAACAAAGAGTAGCCCCCGCTCACCGCAACTAGAGAAAGCCCATGTGCAGCAACGAAGACCCAATGCAGCCAACAATAAATTAAAAAAAAAAGCTTCTTGAGGGCAACAGACAGCCCTAACATCAGCTCTAAACATGGAGAACCTACAAGTGCAGGACTGTTCACCTCCATGTAAATATGGATCTTCCCAGATCCATGTAATGGATGAAATTACAGTATGTGCTCACTCGCACTTGCATTCTCACTCTCTCTCTGGATACTTTGAGCTTCTGATCTTTCCAAACTTTGAACCTAATGCAAACTCAGAAATGTGAACATGCATCTTTTTAAGAACCTCAGAATACATTACGTGTCTTAGGTTATTTTTGTTTTTTGGGTTTTTTTGTAAAAACTAAAACATAGGATTCTCTAAAATCAGAAAGAATTTCTTCAAAGGAATATATTTTAGCACCGTTGCTGAGATTTTTTTATTCCTATGGTTGTTTTACAAATTATAGGCTTTTCCTGTCTGCCTTTAAAAAGTGGCATTTCTGCCATTACACTGAACAAATGATTTTAGCACAATGTGTGTATAAATTTGTATGTTATTATATACAAATATACGTTGTATTATGAATTTTATGTTAATGATAGTGAGAACAAATAGTAAATGACAGTGAGATTAAAAAGTTGACTTTTACATAGGCGTTGGAAAGTGTGTAGCACCAGGGAACTCAGATTACCTTAACATGTGATACGAATTTCAGGTGTGTTTGGTGTGTGTACATGTATGTGTGTATGTGTAGGGTGGAGAACGTGAAAAAGAGAGATGGAAGTGGGTTGCTAGAGAGGCTTTGCAGAAAAACGATGCATACAACATGGCAAATCTGGCAACGCTCCCTAAAATGTGGATTACACAATGTAAGACTTACAAATCGTACACTAGATTCCAGGACTGCCTACACCAAGTCTTCTCACTGCATGTGATATAACAAACTATTCACTAGGAGACACCCAGAATACCTGTAAGAAAACAGTCTAGCAGCTGGAGTCTTGTAGTCATGGTAGTAGAGCCATCTGGCCAAATGAGTGAAGTGATGGAGGAGTGGTTTCAGTGGGTGTAGAAGTGTTAGCTTCCCCCGCAGGAGAGCAGAGCATAGAGGGAGAGTAGACAAGAGCCCAAGAAGAGCATCTCAGCAACTCCCTGGTGACTGAGGGCTGTGATACATTTACTTTACTGTGATACATTTTAAATAAAATTGCCTTCACTTACAGAAACTTGATTAGTATTGTTCATGCAACTCTAAAAGGTGCTACCTCTGCTTCAAGGTAATTAGAAAGAAATCACTTCAATAACTTAGAAACTCACCGTTAAGAAATTCAACCTTTACTACCACTTTTAGTACCCTCAGATTCAGATTTATCTCATTGTCTTGAATCAAAAAAAAAAATACTTCAAAATAATAACGTCTATGATTTTGCATTTTGGAACCCTGCCTGTCTAAAAAGATCATTTGACAATGATTACCATAACTTTATTGTCTCTTGAAATTCTCAAATTCACATATTCAGATGTCAAGCTTATTTTTCTTTTCAGAAGAAAATAACACCTGAAGTAAGCACCCAGGTAAAGCTTTAGAATGACATCACAGGAACTTTGAGTGGCAATGGGATTATTCTGGTGGCAGAGGTTCTGAGGACCAACAGGAATCCTACCATGGAACCATCTCAATGGGATCACTTAACCTTTCAAGAGTCGCAGTTTGACCTAAAGTCTGTGCCAGTAAATAGAACAGATGTACTCTACACTTGCAGCCAGGAAGCAGGAATTTTGCTCATCCTCGCTTCACATTTAATTCCCAATACCCCAGTGCCCAAGTTATAAGGTGCTTCAGAAACAATCACTGAATTACTGAAAGGTGAGAATATTTTGACTGATCCAAAAATGGTTTACAATATTTTTAGAGAACCATTAGAAAGCTGACTATCCTTACATTACAGGGTTGTATTTCCAAAATGTAGCTTCTTAATCTCTTGGCTTCTGCTCACTGCAGAATAAACACTTCTATGTCAAAGAGGAAGTCTCCTCCCTCAGTGGAATCTTCTTCAGATAATAGAGATGGAACTAAGGCAGAAGCCTGCAGAGGCATCAGAGGAGGATTTAGATACCTACATATGTGCCTCAGAACAAAAAGCATGAGAGTGCTATCTTGAAGAAAAATCACTCCCTAGTTTGATTAAACCTCCACATCTAACTGAGAATGTTATATCAAATTACTTTGTAAATTATAAAATGCTCCACAATTATAGCATGGCAATTTAAAGTAGGCTATAAAACCAACACCAACAAGTCATTCAACTAACGCAAATTTAGATAAGAAGTGTCTATTAATTTTAAAAACAAATTAATATGCAAATGCTAAACTACAGAGGAAAGCAATTGAAGAAATAAAGCATTACAGTTTATGTGTGTTAATTAAAAAATGGCTTTGCAGGGGCTACCCTGGTGGCGCAGTGGTTGAGAGTCTGCCTGCCGATGCAGGGGACACGGGTTCGTGCCCCGGTCCAGGAAGATCCCACATGCCGCGGAGCGGCTGGGCCCGTGAATGGCCGCTGAGCCTGCGCGTCCGGAGCCTGTGCTCCGCAACGGGAGTGGCCACAACAGTGAGAGGCCAGCGTACCACAAAAAAAAAAAAAAAAAAAAAAATGGCTTTGCAAAGACTGCATAATCTCCCAACGTCTATAAGCTGCTCATGCTTCCAAAGACTCCTACGCGTTTGACTGAGACAAACGTTCATAATTTATATCGCCTGTTGTTACCCTACAGGATAGATATTAATAATTCTTATTATTAATATAATAAGAATTATGTGACCTTAGCCACGGTCACATAATATGACTTAGACTATTTCAATTTAAGGTTTTCTTTCGAGAAATACTTAATCCTTGGCGGTTTTAATTCTGGGAAGGAAAAGTCATATTCTACTCAAGAGGAAAATAAATAGCTATAGTTGCAAGCCTGGTGGATGTCTTTTTTTTAATTTGAAAGAGAAAGAGAGCGAGAGCAAACGTGGAGATGGTTTTGTGGGGTTCAATGTAAAGAAAACAAAACTTCATTCAAAACTTGGAAGATTTCTTCCATGATATTTGCCTTTTGTAAATAAATAACATGACTTATTTAAAGATTTACTCATATTTAAGCCAATTAAGTCCTTCCCACAATAATTTTAAAACATTA